CACAGGTTGGGAACCTTGCTCTAAAGTGTATGTGAATTGTGAACCTGTAATGTGACCATACTTGTTGGCAAGTAATTGCTCGAAACGCAGGCCCATGTTGGCCTAATATAAATTTGGGATAGCCTGGAGATGGATAAGTGATGTACATATGAAGTGATGAACCTTGCAAGGGCAACTTTTATGGAGAATTTTAATGAAGAGTGGAATAGGTTGAGATCTGGGAGACTAGTGATATTGGAGAAGAGAGAAATTGTAGGTAATTAAAACGATGTCAATGAGAACATATGACGAAAGTATTTACGTGGAAGGCAAAAAAGTGTACAGATAATTTCAGCAGTATTGTAATTATGCTAAAAATGTATTGGAAGTAACCAATACCAACAACCCTTAAGTAAAAAAATAACTAAATCTAAAATAAAACTTGAGTCCTATGTAGGGTTTACATTAAATGTGTGAATGGTTACACCAATTAAAATTAATGTCATTTAACCCCTTAAGGACACATGATGGAAATATTCCGTCACGAGTCCCTTTTATTCCAGAAATTGTGTCCTTAAGGGGTTAACTGAGTGTATAGGCCCAAATTTGGGCCTGACATAAAATTTATACAGTTGGTTGCAAAACCTAGCCATGTAGGGGACTAAATAGTAATGCGTATGATAAAAATCAAAATAGTTTTGAGAGTGTCACACTTCTCATCGTGTCATACACAATATTGTATATTTGGGCCTGACTGGGTTTGAACCTGTCTCTCCTGCTTCTCAGTCAGTAGCCCTACCTTGAGCTCCACACTTCTTTGGTTACTTTCAGAAGTTCCTTGTATCCTGTTCTTCTTGTCTCTACGCCTGGACCCTGCTCACCTGTTCCTGATATGTGGCTGATATCATCCTATATAAACCCCGCCTTGGTTATTGCACATCGTCAGATCGTTTTGTTCCTGTTTGGTGTTTCTGCTGTTAATCTGACTCCTGATTCTTGATCCTCTGCTCGTCCTTTGTTTATGCCTGATTGCCGCCTGTCCTGACTATTTATTTGGTCCCTGACTACGCCTTGCCTGTACCTCGTTCCTGGAAGCACTGGTTATCAGCCCTAGTGAACTGTTTCACCGCCTTGCGGATTTCTGCCTTGAGTCCACTTGGCTGGTGTAAAATTGCAAAGGGTGCTTTAACTCTGTGTGTTGGACTCCACTCTCAAGGTAAGATTATTATAGAGAGGACCTAATACCGTATATGGTATTATACGCTGTGATGTTATGAATGACTAAAATAGGCTGATTACTGTAGTGAGTTAACAGGATTACTGGTGTGTGCAGCTTTATGGCATGACCAGCTTGTTCGGGGTATATGCAGCCTTTCCAGCTGTGGCCAGGAACATAGCGCATCCGTGACTTTAGCTCAAATGCCAAATTTAAGCAAGGTCCAGACCTCAGGGCCTTGGGAGTAGCGGGGACAGGGGATTCTGCGAGGGACCTGGGATGACAGGGTTGGAGTGTTTAGAGATAAAACATCACCTGGAACTATTTCTTGCAACATCCAATAAGGAAATTAATAATAAGTTAACCATGCGAAACTTTGATGCAAATTGAGAATATCCCTTATGTAGAACTGGCTTGCTAACTAGTGCTGATAGTCAAAGATATTAACTACCCAGTGACAGGTGAGACCATGCTAGTTGCCAAGTGGCTGTGAGAGGCTCTATCTATGATTTGGGCCATGTGGGCTCGTAGCTACGATGCATTGTGGAGGGGAGTTGGCCATGCAGTGACGGTAAAACAGTCAATACGTGTGGCCATTACATGTGAGGCTCTGACTATGACCCTGCAGAAGATTATGCCAGGTACTAACTATGAGTTGGGTTGTTAGGTGAAACCTCCATGTTGAGGTGGGGAGTTGACCTTGCAGGACCGATATGTTACTTTACTTAGACTAAGGTCAGCTCCTATCCTTGTCTCTTTTGTGAATGAGCGTAAACGTACGTGCATAAACAAACTAAATAGAATCAGAGATTGAAGGACAGGAAAATGGCACCTGATGAAACCACCGATTGTGATGTGAACCGAAAATTAGAAGGGGAAATACAGTAACTAACAGAAGGACAAAATTTACGCTTTATGAGCGGAACATGAAGAGGAGAGTAAGATAGCGGCCTAAACTTAAAGATGATATGTGTCGGTATGATGAATACATTATTGTTTACCTGATAGGCTTGGGATGAAAATTGTCTGTATCCTAATATGCCTATGAATGTAAAACTTCTAGACAGAAAAACAGATAACATGACAAAGTCAATATCCCGTTGGATATCTTGAAACATAAAGGAGCATATGACGGACGTTGCAAGAGTCAGACATGCAGAGACCCTAGTTAACCCCTTAAGGACACATGACATGTGTGATATGTCATGATTCCCTTTTATTCCAGAAGTTTGGTCCTTAAGGGTTTCGCATTGTATTTGGTAGTCGTAATGAAAGCAGAGTGAGTCCTTAATATGATATAAACATAAACTAAAAAAACTAAATTTGTGAGAAACTCTAGTGTACCATTTCTTTTAGGAGACATGCTAATGGCTTTTACCTTAATCGCATTTGTAGTGATTGATGTAAACGTGTTTGATTGGAAGCCAATGTATTTGAATGTACTTAAAGTTAGTTTAACACCACATGACGTTTGAAACGCAGTATTACTGTAACAGGAGGGTGATCAGTACTACAATCTGAATTGGTTTATGAAAGAGTTCACCTGAACAGATTTTACCTGAAAGATCCGATTTAAAAAAAAAAAAGGGTATCAATCACTGCATGGTATAATTAAAACTAGAAGTACTGTAAACCTACTAATGAGTCGCCAAAGTAGTGAACAGTAAATCTTTCTACATTTAATTATATTCATTTCTGATTTACATACATGTGTTTTTAAAATGTTTTATAGATAACGCAATAAGACAGATTTCAAATTTTATGATGCGAAAAAGGGGCGTCGACGTCATGACGCAAATGACGTCACAGATCACCAAAACTTCTGAATGATGACGTTTTGGGGGTGTGGCTATCGTCCTAACAAGCTACAGCCACAGTATAAAGGATTTCATGAGTTAGGTTCCTTGCCCTGTTGTGGTTAATATTTGGTCCCAATAGTGCTATTATGTATTCAGTGATTTATATTCTGGCTTTTGACTTTGGCTTTGTTTGACTATTCTTTTTTCTGTACTCCTTGACCCAGCTTTGGCTTCTCGCTTGTCCTGTTTTCTGTACTCCTTGACCCCGGCTTGACTTTGACTACCCTTGTATTAATACGTTACCTTGTCTCTACATTCTTGGATCTCAGTTGTATCCTGACACCCCCGAACAGAGAGAACTTATAGTTTTAACATGGTGAGGGGAGGTTCGTGAGTTTAGCGTTCGCATCTTTGTATGTGAGTTTGAATAGACTATGTTGAACGGAGAAACCAACTAATGAATTAATAGGTTAGTGAACGGTTAAACTCATGAAATGCTCTACGTACTTAAGATATAGCAGTAAAAAGCCAGACTGGCACGAAAACCCATATAGAGTAAAAGGAACGTATATAACACATAACAGTGCCAAAACGATAGCAACGAAAGTGCAATTAAAGGACCACTATAGGCACCCAGACCACTTCAGCTTAATGAAGTGGTCTGGGTGCCAGGTCCACCTAGGATTAACCCTGCCTGCTGTAAACATAGCAGTTTCAGAGAAACTGCTATGTTTACTTTGAGGTTAATCCAGCCTCTACTGGCTCTCATTGACAGCTGCTAGAGGTGCTTATGTGCTTCTCACTGTGATGGTGGGGGCTCCCTCAGGGCACTATAGTGTCAGGAAAACATACACTATAGTGTTCCTTTAATAGAACTAAGTGAAAGCTAAAGACTGTACATTAATAAAGTAACGAATGAACTAACGAAAGCGAAGGAAAGGGAGCCATTCCCTGTTCTTGTTAGGCCCAAACATAGGAACAAACTGATTATTCCCACGTGTACATAAGTAAACGTCCCCGTCCTCGTTGTCGGAAGTAGGAACTAACTGCAGTAGAGCCGGAAGTCCGGAGTAGGTGTAGGCCGCAACAGGAGCAGAGACCGGTTTGCAGCAGTGCGGGAAGGACCCGACCGGAAATGGAAAACGGCACAGTTAAGCAGGGGAAATTGCATTTTATAGGGGAAACTCCTCCCACAAATTCAGGCATTTGACCTTCTACATATGCATTAAAAGACAAAAAAGGGACAACTTTGCCTTATGACAAAACTTGATAAAAGGTGGACCTTCGTCTGTGGGAATATGGTATCTTAGGAAGTGGTTGGTCTGTGCCAGCACTATTTATTTATTTTACATCTGTTTTAATAATGGAATAATCTTATATACACAGGGCACTGCAACTCCAATTAGACAGAACAAGAATCTTGGAATTAGAGTAGATGATTCAGTGTAGAGGAGAAGAGGTTAATGAGAGACAGATAATCTGTAGTTGGGCTTGATATCCATCTATAAAATCAGAAGATATTTAATATATGCCCTCTCTGGGCTATTTTTTTTTTTTTTTTTGTCATGATTATATAAACCTTATTCTTTGTCCTGAAAAGGAATGTGATGTGTACTTATCACCTTTTAGCAATCATAAAATAGTTTGTATACATATATTCTACTTTATTGAACAATAATATAATTCACATAAAACATCTCATAAACAAGTATTAAACCTGAGGGTTTATAAGAAGTCAAACTATTCCTTCATTAGGGAACATTCTCACTCTGTTGTATTCCCTTTGTATGACCTCTAATTGACGTATCACTAGTTTAAACCTCTGTAGTAACGATTTGCATTCATTATGCATGATGTACTCATCAACTGGGAATATTTATTTTGCCCACACTTGTTGTTCAAACAAATGCAAAGAATAATCAAGGAAATCAGGCCTTGGCTTAAATTGCAAGTGTGCATGTAGATCATATTCAGTTAATTTAGACTTTTCTTATAGATGTATTTATTATAATTTTATTATTTATATAGAGCCAGCAAATTCCATAGCGCTGTACAATAGGTGGACTAACAGACACATAATTTTAACCAGACAAATGGATGCACAGAAACAGAGGGGTTGAGGGCCCTGCTCAATGCTAGAGGGAGTGGGGTATAGTGACACAAAGGGTATAAGTAAAGGTAATGAAATAGGTTGCTAGAAAAGTATTCACTGAGAACTTAGTAGGTTATTTTTGACAGTTGCAGGAGAGGAGTCATGGGGGGGAGGAAGATGAAAACCCACTAACAATTTAAATTCTATGCTTTCCTGATTGTTTTCAAAGATTTTTTTTTTTTATTTTTTTTTGAAGGAGTGGAGACTGGGTGAAAGTCGGAGAAGGGAAGGGAGTTCCACAGAAAAGGTTCAGCCCTGGAGAAGACTTGGAGGCGAGCATCAGATATGGGAGTAAGACGTAGGTCTTCAGCAGAGCGCAGAGGCTTTGACTGGACATATTTGTGTATTAGGGAGGATAGGTAGGTTGGAGCATCATTATGTAGGAACTTGTAAGCAAGTACCACTGGAAGCCAGTGTAGGGACTGGCAGAGGGGAGAGGTGGGGGCAGACAGGAAAATGAGCCTTGCCACTGCATTCATTATAGATTGCAGCAGTGCAATCTGGGAACACATAAGACCACTGAGAAGGGGACAACGGCATGGACCAGCACCTTAGCTGCGTCTGGTGTTAAATAAGGGCGGATGCAAGCTATGTTTTTGAGACGGTAGTGTGTATATTGACCAAGGAACTTTTTTGCCTATGTGCAGTTAATAATTCTCTGTAAAAGGAGAAAATGGTGTCCATTTCCATTTTGAAAAAGTGCAGATTTCAACAGAAATTTTCACTTTAATAATTGAACCTGGTTACACCCCCTGGCTGTCAATCAGACTGCCAGAAGGTGTTTCTTCCTGGTTGTTAAGTTTCATTGAGCAAAATTCAAAAGGCAAGAAATTGCCCACAGCACCTAAGTTGCAAAGATTTATCAATGTACTGTAATACAGCTCTCTGCGAAGTCTGTCATTTAATGGTATGCAAGGCTTCTCAATGAGACTCCTCTGATTGGGCATTCCCTGGCACAGATGAGAATGTGTCCTCAGTAAGAGGGCTTACTGTAGCTGCATATAGTAGATCTGAAGCTATTCAAGCTAACATTCCATATATTCCCAAAGGAAACATGCAAAAATAATCACATGCATGCTTTCTTTGTGAATATATCTATGAAATTATTTTATTTTAATGAAGCGTTCCTTAATGATTTAAGGAGTTGTAATTGAGGACTATGATCATTGTACTTTTGTTTTACAGAGTTTTTTGGCAGTAACGCACACATCTAATGTTTTGAAACGTTCACCAGGCTGTCTCTCTATAGCATTATGAACTCTGAGTCTGTATTTAAAATTGTGTATTAAGGCAGAGGATGACTTTTTTATAGTGTGTGTGTGTGATAAACTCATTTTAATCTCAAACAATGAAGATAGGACTTAAAAGTATATAATACCTCAAATGGATATAATTCTTTAGTGGCTATGATACTGTGATGCAAGACCGTAGGATGGGTTTGTGTATGGACTATAGACCCATGATCTTAATGTGCTCCAGGTACAAACTAGCCCACTGGGATACTTCCTTAGGAGGCTGCAGTGTCTAAGCTTGACTAGACAGGGTTGAGTATTTATGGTGTCCTTGTAAGTATTTGCATAAGTGGCTGCAGGGTAACACAAGTCAGGCTCTTCATGCAAGGCAAGGTCTGGGACATCACTTCTAAAGACAGCTCATATGGATGTATATCATTAAGGGTAAAAAATAATCTAACATCAGGGAGCACATTGGCTCAGAAGACAGAGAAGAATGCTATAGAGGTAATATTACCACTATATTTTGGGATACACTAACGTAATGATAAACCCTTTCAGGGCGTATAACAGCTCCAGACTGGTTCCATGATCAAACTTGCAACAGTACAGTAAAATAGTACTTCGTACCACACCAAATTAAAAAAAAAAACACAATTGTCTTAAAACATTTTAATATTAAACAAAATTGTACATGTGCTTATATAAACCATTACATAAAATAAACTTTGTTAAACTAAAGCTTTGTGTCTTGTTTTTATGGCTGTTTCACAGTAATATTTTGGCTGTTTACTGTTTCCCTCATGAAAATAGTGCAAATAGGAGAAAGATATAACCATGACCAAAATGATATGTTTAGTATAAGTCCTTGTAGATCTCCTGTAAGAGAGGATGTAGACACATATCTGCCTCCGTTTTCTTGATAATTTGCAAGAGCTGAACATGTTCTGTCACGACCTGTCTTAGATCAGTCATCTTTTGGAGAAGTTTGGCAAAGAGCTGAGAGGAGTCTGGATGGTTTAATTTGAGCTGATGTTCCAGGGCTTGTAGTAAGCTGTCTTGAATTGCTTCAATTGGCTTCACGTTCACTAGTCCAGGTCGATCTGTGGAAAAAAATGTAAATTCTTGAGTGGATAATACTGTTTTTTTACTTTTATGTTGTACCTGCATTATGTGACCAGACTAATGCACACTGATTACCTCCACAACCAACAAAACATCTATATTCATAGTCATCTTTGTATAACAGTATTACTAATCGTACTATTACTACACATTACTAATAAAACAATTTTATATATTCTACAGTGGTATATATGATCGACTGATAATTAATTACAAGTGTGTTTATTTCTAAAAAAACAAACAAACAAAAAAAAACCTCAACCCCAATGGTAACAAGTATATGGGCCCTTGTTTATATACACGGTGGTGTCGGAGGGAAACCTTCAAAAACCTGTTAGATCTACTTTTAGAGGGATATATTTTTTCTGTTTTATATTTTTGCTTGCTTTTCCTTTACTTTTTTTTTCATTAGTTCCTTATACTGTTAATTAAGATGCATACAGTCAAATATGTCTTTATAAATACCTATGTCACTTGTTTGTCAAACAGTATTGTTACTATTTGGTCATCTTCGGAGCAGGACACTACTGTAATGTTGTAATTCATGACCTACTGTATGTCATTGTGATATATCAATAATTGAAAAAAAATGGTTAGTTCTGAAAGCACGAGCAAGGTACAATGTCCTTTTTTAAAAAAAAATTATAGTTGATATTAATGACCGTTAAGTTGACACTTTTTTTTTTTTTACTAGTGTGAAGGAAGCAATGTATCTCAGATTATGTAAAATGTATTGGTGCTCACGAATTCTTACTATTGCTACATTATTTTATGATTGTTATAAAACAGCAACTAGAGGAGGGATAATGGATCGGAGGAAGCCTATTAGAGCAAAATTAATAATATAGGGGGTAGAGCCTGGTGGCAGTCATGGACATCTGGTGGATTGGTGGCAGTCATGGACATCTCTCATTTTTTCCCATTGCGGTGTTCTATACAAGTGGACTGTACTGAGAGTGCCCGCACATGTCATTTACCTTAGTGCCTAGATAAATATTAGATTACTGCTACCAGACAGTTGTTTTCTCTTCCCTGTTGAGCACTGAAACACACCATGAAAGGATTTGCAGTCTGTCTGCAGGCTGAATGTTTTGCCTTATACCAAGGGTTCCCAAACGGTAGGTCCTCAGTTGTTGTAGAACTACAACTCCTATGATGCTTTGCATGTGTTTACAATGATAAAGCATGACAAAGCATCATGGAAGCTGTAGTTTTAAAACATCTGTGGATCTACCTTGTGGGCACGCTTGCCTTATACCATGCATATTGAGGGTTGAGGCTGGGCTCAGAGTCTTGCAATTGTTTAGACACTTTGATTTTATGTTTTAATCATAAATGTACTGCTATTCTACCACCATACTTCATGCAACTTTGTATCACTAATGTATCTTTATATACCACCACTTAATGCAACTTTGTATCACTATTGTATATACAATTACTTGGAAGGTTTGCTTCAGAGTAATTGAGTAATGGATACCTTAGTACTGTTCAGAGCTACAACAAGCTAACATCTAATTAGATATGTTAGCATTGCGCCATTATTCTACTATTTTTTTATTTTTTTCTTTGAAGCCAAATTGAGAAAAAAAAAATTCAGGTAAGTATAGGGTGTTGTACAATTCTAGTGTTCTACTATTATTTCTTGACTTGGTTTATTTGGGTTGTCATTGAAGGACACATGATATAGGGTTAATTCAGCTTATTTAAAAGAATTATTTAGTATTGTACTATTAATGTGGAATTTAAAGGAGCACTTCAAGTACCATAACAACTACAGCGCGCGGTTACTAATACATGCTCTTTGATTAGGAAATATGTATTTTCTTGTGACAGTGCAGCTAGATTTTGCTTATTTCAGTTTGTAGTACTGAAAAACATACAAAGAAACACGTACAAAATAATGCAGCAATGACAAGCACAAAGCACAACTCCTTTGTATAACCCCCCCCCCCCCAAGAAACAACAAACACTTATATTACCAGGAAGTGGTTGCAATTGGACCCATATGAGCTCCCATCATATTTGTGGAGAAGATGGGCAAGCGTTTATAACGGATGAAAAGGGAAGATGATTTCTCTAGTAGGGCTATATGGATGACAGTCATGGACCTGTAAGTTCCTTTAGTAATTAGGTGTTCGAGCAAACATCTATGACCAGTATGCCTTGCTTAATCTTGGTATTTTTTCTTGATACATTTTTTCTAACATGTTTCAAAGCAGTGTTACTGTGGCTGGTGTAAAAATTCTCTAAACTGTGTAAAGTTGTCGGAAGGTTCTATTGGGTATGTTGCATCTGCTCCAATCAACTTCCTCAAAATACTTAAAAAAATAAAAAAATTTTTTTAACAATAAACAGCCTTTTTGCATTGTCTGCATCTACCAGCTGTTTCCCGTGTCTGGTAATAATATTGCCCGTGCAAATGCTATAATTTTATTAGGAAGTAAATTTTATGAAAGTTTATCTTTACAATAAGCAAGAACCGGAGTTGCGTATAAAAAAACTTCTGTGGAAAAAAGTTCTACAAATGGAGCAGTTAGCCGAAACATTCAACTGGTTTCCATGGTGATTGCTAGAATTGGAGATTTATTTTGGTCCGATCCGCAATTTATCTGAATTTGGGACGTTCAGGTTGAATTCCTGAAGTCTGTGCAGATATGTACCCAAATGACAAACAAACCAAAACTCAAAATGGTTGAGTATTATTGGTGCGCGTTTTGTGCCAAAAGAGGATATAATTGATAGACCAAAGGAGCAGTAAAAACATAAAAATATATGTAACTTATAAATATATTTTCGTTTTACTTAATTTTCCTCTTTTCCCCTCTACTGATTACTTTTTCTCATTTGATCTTAAAATAAATGGCTGAAAAATGCTCCTGTCAGCTTATGGAAAAATATATACATAATAATATGGGCCCATTATCGTGCATATTTGGTTCGCCTGATTCATTTCCTGAATCGGGATTTCGGTACCAAAATTCTGCCAAGTCAAACTGACGTTTGGCCAAAATTTGGGGGTCTGGAATTTTTTTTTTTTTTACATTTTTGGAAATAATTTTCTTGATATGCACAAGTCTAGTATAGAATTATTCCCTAGCATTGCTTATTAGGTTACCTCCCAGGGTATAAAACCCACACATATTGCATTCATTCAATATGTGGCTTTTGTAAGAGCTGAGACGTTAAGAAATCGCAGATAAGATTATATCCACAGATACCATTTCCAACTCATAAACAAACTTTGCAGGCTTTTATAATTAATTGCTCTATCAGTTTAATTGTAGATAAAAACTGTTGCCAAATGAGTCACTAGTCAGTTTCAGCAAAAAAATATTATACTAAGCTTCTCAACATTATTTAATATGATTAGATTATAGTTTCATGTTCTCATGCATCATTTAAAGCAGATGTGGGATATTTTTTATTAACTTCTTTACATGAATGTTTCTTTATGCTCGATAGACAGAACTGCAAAATACATTTTTATGAATGGTATGATATATTTCATAGGGGCAAGCTCTTTTTGAATTCTCAAGCAGAGATAAAGAGCAAACATTATTGTGCACTTGTGATGAGAATATGGCACCAAGAACAGCATTTCCACTTGTAATAAAAAAAAATGTAAAAACAAACTAACATTTATTTTACAAATCAAAAGAAACACTAC